GCGGGGCTGGACCGATGCTTGCGGGGCAGGACCGACGCTTGCGGGGGCTGGCCCAGTGCTGGCGCGGGGCTGGACCAATGCTGGCACATCCCAGAGCATCTTTCCCTGGCAGGGCCTTTCCTGGGGACCGCAGGGACGATGTGTTTTGGGGGTGGTTCATCCAGCTCCACGCCGGGGCGCGGGGCGGGCAGGAGTGCTGCGGGCATCCCTGCGCCGGCACCGTCCTTTCTAGCTAGCACCGGCTCTGGCTGTGCCCGCAGCATGGGGTGGGGTTTTGGCTGGGGGGGATTTGTCCCACCCTGGGCAGACTCTGGGATACCCATGCAGGGAAAGCCATCCCGAAAACTTGGGATACGCTTGGCTGAGGATGGAGCCTGCGGTGGACACGGCTCTTTGGGCACGGGAAGGGCGGCATCGCCACCAGCCCACGGCACGTCCTGGCACAGCCAGCAGCCGCTGCCGAGCGCAGGAGCGTGCCTGCACCACAGCATGCACAGCCGGCACGGGACAGGTATCTTCCACATCAAAAATGAAGATCATGATTAAAAGTGATGCGCACTTGGGAGTGTGAGATAAGACCCCAAAGCAAGAGTGTAAGTATGACTGATTAATAAATAAACCTTCACTAATTGCCTTAAAAAGTCGGATCTCAACAGCCGGGGAAGGAAAAAAAAGAAAGATTTAAACTTTCCTTGGGCTAAACATTTTTTTGGCGCGCTCAGACTCGCTCTGAATGTTTCCAGTCATTATCTCCCTAATTAATGCACACCGCAAACCGAAAACAAATTTCCCCACCTCGTGGCTCTGGGAGGTTCAGCCGGATTAAACAAACCCCAGGAACGAGGTCAGCCATTGCCCCCTGCCCGGCGAGCAGCGTCTTGGGGTGGGAGGCAGCCCAGAATAGGGAGAGATGAAGTTATTATCAGCGAATGAAGTGGAATAAGCCTTTAATTTTCTCCAGCTGTTGCTGGATATGCCGAGAGACAGGTGAGCTCCCCGGGACGGAGCGGGCGAGCCGGGCGATGGGGAGACACCTCGCCACCCGACAGCTCCCCGCGTCTTGGGGAAATCAGGGCTGTGTAGTGGTTTTTTAATTACCATCACTTTATTTTCTGTGATTGACACAAAACCAGCTCCGGCCCTTATTGCATTTTCACAGCCCCAAAAGGAATTCAAATAATCCCTTTTAAGCAAACTGATGCTGCAGAGCCCATCACCGGGACGGGACCTTGGCACGGCTCGGGGTGGTGGCTGGGGCCGAAGGTGCCTGTTTGCCGGGACCAGACTGTGCAAAAGCACCCCAAATCCGGCTGTGCTCCCTGCCCCAAGGGGTGCCCCAGTGTGTAAAACCCCAAAAGCGCTGCTTTGGGGTCCTGGTGCACATTTACAGCCAGATGCATCCTCCTGCCCTCAGACCTGCCGGCACGGGGGAGCCTGTGGGCTCAGCTAGAGTGGGAAAAACTGTTGATCAAAGGGTAAAATTAAATAAAACGACACAAATAGAAAAGAAGGAGCCATCCCTGCGAGGCCGGGCGGCCCGCTTGAAATACGAGTGAAAATTTCAGGTAAAAGCAGCCGGGTGCAGGCAGAGGACTGCCTGGCCAGCCCGCTCGCTCCTCCCGCAGCGCTGGCTCCGAGGAATAATGGTAATTAGAGCTTCCTAATGCCTCCAGGTCATTTTCTTTTTCCTTGCGTAACATAATTTCTACAGGGCTTGTCGTCTTTATTAGGAGAATTAATCTAAATCTTGCTGTGCTCTGGCCGCTTTGCCATCCGCCGGAGCCATCCCGAGGAGGGTCAAAGGGGCAGGTCCTCTTCATGGCATGCAAATAAAAAAATTAAAAAATTAAAAAGGGAGGTCAGCTGGAGGCTATGGCAGAGGAAATTAATGATTTTTTAAACAACCAGGGAAGTTTGCGTCGGCCTGGTAACGTAATTCAATTTCTGTCATTAAACCCGCGTCGCTGATGTGGGGCCGCTTTTGCCCAACTAAGCAAAATCCTTTTATTAAGCCAGAATTGTCATTAGTGTAATAATAAAACGAGGATGAATGGCAGAGGGGGAGGACTGGCCGCAGCCCAGCGGAGGCGATGGGGATGCCCGGTGCCGCAGAGCCAGGGAAGGGCAGAGCAGGTTTCCTCCCGCCCCGAACACCCACGGCGGTGCCTGGGACGGCGAGGGGTGCTCGGCGGAGCTGGGAAGGGGCAGGGATCGGATCCGCCCTGCGTGGTCACATCCTGCACCCTCAGCACCGGGTGCTGCCAACCCCCCTGGCCAACATCCCTGCTGGCATTGATGGCTCCGGCCAGATTTCCAGGAAAACGTCCCATCCCTATTTAAACCATCCTGAGTTTTTTTGGCTCTGGGTGATTTTCCTTCTCGTTGCTGCACGAGTGGACCCGCAGGAAGGTGAGGCCACTGCCGTGGGCACCCCAGCCTCCTCCTTCCCTCCCTGCAACGCCTGGGGAAGGCTTAGGAAAAGCACTTGCACCCTCCCGTGCCTGCATCCACGAACTGCAAGGCAGCATGGAAGCATGGCTGGGGCCCCTGTGGCATACGGTGCCTGCCAGCCCACGAGTGGAAGGAATCATCGCCGTCCCCTCGACACTGGCACTCCCAAGGAGGTTTCCTTCCACCGCAGCGTCTCCGGGGAAAGCACCCCAAAAAATACCTTCCCTCCCAGCGCAGCGGGCGAGGGGCGGCGGGGCAGGAGGGGCCCCGGGGATGGATGGTCCCGTGGAGCTCCAGGGGGGGAAGCAAAGGGGCAGCTCCTGCCCGCCGGGGCTCGCGTGGAGGGCGCCAGACCAGGGGCAAAGCAGCGGATCAGAGGATTAATCAGTCGAAAAGCAGCTTGAACCTTCAGGCTGGAACCTGATTAGTAATTAGAGCCGGAGGTTGTCCCACGCACGGGGAAGGTGGGGAGGGCGATGCCACGGGGCAGGAGCTGGCGGCAGGGCAGGAGGGAGACGTGGTGCTGGCTCCTGCGCTCCAGAGCGGACTTTACCCCCCTTGGAGGAGGGAACTGGTGTCCAGCGAAGCTCAGCTCAAGTCTCCAGCCCCTGTGAACCTGGTATCCACCCTGCCGGGACAAAGGGACCTCTGGGAGGCAGGGAAGGGTCGTAGCTTCCAGTCTTGCAGGCAGCTTCATGCGGGGAAACTATCGTGAGACACCACTAAATCCCATATCCCCTGTGCCCAGAAAATCCTGCCAGCCCAGGAGGTACTAAGAACACACTATGAAACAAGCTAAAACCAGCTTCAGTTGGGCAAAAATGCTAACCGGGGTGAAACGAAAACCTTCTCCAATGAAAGATTTGCACCCAGGATTTTTTTAAGGCCTCCAACTCATCAGCATCCCCCTTTCACATGGCAAAACCTGGGGTAACGGTAACAGACACAGGATAAAACCACACGCACCCACCTCAGGCCAGCCCTTCGGGTTGTGAGACCACGCTGGACGCGAGACAGCGCGTGTCCACACCGCAGGTCACCGGGTCCGCAGCTGGAGACAGAGACTCCGGAGGGAATCTGCTCTCAGCTTTCTGGCCAGGGCTTTGTACCTGCGTTTGTACCTGCATTGGTGCCTTGCACGCATCCCACCGCCGGCGCAGCCTCCCCATCCTGGCATCCAAAAGTGGAAAACCCAGCAGAGAAGGAATCCCAGGGCAGATGCACCAGGCAGCCATCATCAGTGCTTTTTAAAAGAAGAGCTTATTTCTCCAACACAGTGAATCAGTGCTTTATTTTCAGTATTGCAAGAGGTACAAGACCAGCAAGTGAGCTCCAGGTAATGAGCTGGCACATTGTACTTTGTATTGGTGCCCTCATAACAGCAGGATTGAGGCAAAACGCATGCAGAGAAAAGCCTCCAATGTGCCCCTGAGCGCAGCTGCACCATAACAGCACCGGCAGCGCAGCCTCACCAAACCGCTGCACCACCGGACCCGCCGGTCAGCGAGAGGTTTGCTGGCTTCAAAAATCATCCTGTATTGATTTCAGAGGAGGATTTGGTTTCTGGGACAGGGAGGAAAGGCCACGAATCAGATGTTGAATTAAGGAGAAATCAGTGGCACAGCCCTTCCGAGCGCAGAGGGAATGCAGACGTGATTCCTAAAGCCCGAGTTGTGCAAACGGCAGCCCGTTAGCCCGATTCTGGCCACCCTCACACTGGTGTACAGCAAGGAGGAACCGTTAGTGCCACAGGAGTTTATAACACAGTGATAAATCTGGTGTAAGGCCAAGTCAGAATCAAGCCCAGAGGACACGTGAAATCTAGAACTGTCTCATCTTGTGTGCAAGATGGGTAGAGGGGTAAAATACCTGGATGCTGTCTAGCAGGATCATAAAATCATCCTTGTCCTAGCACCCTGGAAGGGTTTATATAGGGCAATTCATACCATGATCCCAGCCCAGAATAGCACCAGAGATTAACCCAGACTCTGACCTCAGCTAATCCAGCGTTACCGCCTGGAAATGCCAGCGGAGCAACGCTGGATTGCATCGGTGCCACGTCAGAATCGGCCCCTCCTGGCTGTGATCTGGAGAGCGTCCTGCCTCGGCTGAAGTCAACAGCAAAACCTCAGCAGAGGCAGGACCGTGGGGACGTGTGCTGCTTTAGTGGGCAAAACCGAAAGGACTCAGCGGTAGCTGCTACCGGCAGAGGCGAGGATGCTGGGGAGAACCGACGGTTGGGGAGGGGGTAAAATGAAGAGCTGTAGCCTTTGCATCACCCCAATTCGTGTGAAACACCCTCAGGCACAGGTCATACAACCTGCCACCCAGCAAGCACAGAGCTTCAGCAACCCCATTTTCCCCTCGCCTCCTCCGTGCTGCTCCCGGCATCCCGAATCGGAGCAGCCCTGAGGAGGGAACCGGCCCGGGGAAACCAGGAGCTTCTTTGGGGTTTCTCTTGTTCCCGGTGCCCCCTTGACCGGACGGTGCACCCCAAGGTGTGAACATAGGATGAGCCCAAGAGCAGTGTGCCAAGTAGAGCAGCTCGCTTACTTCTCCTTCAGGTCCTTGTCTGCTTTGCCTAAAGGAGGGGGAGGAAAAATCAGGCCTCGTGTTTCTCGCTCCAGAGCCCCCAGCCCCTTTTATGTGGTTATTTTGCTACATGCAGCTAACATCTCACAACCATCGCAATCCGACAAGCAGGACAGCAAGTCGTGGCTGGGGTGCTGCCCTGAACTCAGTCTCCCAGAGCCTTTTTCTGACTCTGGGGAAGCAAACGGCACGATAACCACAACGGCAAGAAGCCCTGCCCTTCCCCACAGACCCGCTCCCTACCCCTAGGGACATTCAGAGCTCCCACCTGACTTCTGCAAGGAGTGAACCAGCGAACTCTCCCAGCCCCGTTTATGCCACCGCAGGAGCTCCCTGCCCTCGCTTTGCACCACCAGCAGAAAACCCCCAACGCTCAGCCGCCCCTCGGACACGCAGAGACCTGCGGCCGCATCCAGGAGCTCCAGCACACTTCGCATTTCACCGTGGGAGGTCAGGGAGCCCGAGCCGCCAGCTGAGCAGATTGATGCATGTGAGATTTGTAGAGGATGCGAGTGGCTCCTCGGCTTATCTGAACAGCCAGCTACGCCCCGCCGAAAGCAGCGCACGGCACACAGAGTGGCCCGGCTATTAGCAGCTTCCCAAAAATAACTACGTGGCTGAAACAGCTGCCAAGCACAAGCCTGTAAAAAAAAACCTAGGGGGTTAAAACACCGCCAAAGCCGCAGCCTGTACCTTTCGGGATAAACTTCAGCGAGCTGCTGAATATTCAGAAGCGGGACTGCCCCCTCTTCGGCCCGTCGTTGAGGAATTCATGGCCGAGCCCGTTGCCACACTTGCCACAAGACACCTAAAAATGGAAGGAGAGGGTTCGACAGCAAGCGGTCTTTCTCAGCAGACAGGCTCATGAAAAAAGACAGCCCGGGGGATTTTTTTTTTGCTACTTCCCAAGTGTTTCAGAATCGGCACCTTTAAAGCCCCCGGCCGCTCCTTGCGCTTGGACACGCTCGGTCTCGGTGAAGGCTGGCCACGGGGACGAGTGCTCGTACTTCGCATGGCTGGAGAACAGCTCATGGCCGCACTTGGCACAGACGTAGATGCCTGGGGAGGGCGGCAGGAGAGGGGTCAGTGCTGGGGGGGCAGCCCCCCGGCCCCGCTCCCCAGCCGGCTCCCAGGAGCGATTGCCAGGGGGTCGGGGGGGAGCAGCGGTGGGGACACGTCACATCAGCAGAGTGACATGGGACACGCGCACTGGACTTT